GTCAGGTGATCTGTTTTTGGCAAAAAGCCGCTTGTCACAGCAACTTTTCAATTGTTGTTTTTCCTCTCTGTCTGCCTGCATCAGGAAAGCCAGTATGTTATGAGAGTTCCGGTTGCCACCAAACTCTGAAGATCGCTTTCCAGGATTTAAACATTAGCCATAGGTTTATATGAATGAGGGCTTTGGCATCTGCCAAGCTCCGAAGATAAAAGGCATTTCCTCCTCTGGCTGGGGAAACCGAGTGTTCCCACGTGAGTCGGAACCTCGCGGGGGTGTCTGGGATTATCTCCCGAGACGTGTAAGGGCCTTACAGGGAACTCCCACACAACGTAATCTCGCTACTGGGGAAACGTGCAGACTGATCACCAGTGGCGCTTCAAGCTCCCTTCCTCGAAGGGAGGACCCAAAGCACATAAGCAGAGTTGGGGTCCAATTCCTTTTCTCTGACTGTTTTTCACCAATAGCACACTTCGATCCACGACGCTTTTTCCCTAGGTAGTTAATGCAGGGCCAGCGCAGGTGGCAGAAGCAGGAAAAATAAGAATTGGGGAAAAAAATTAAAAATAAATAAAAGGAAGCTTTTTCTTTCCTTTTAAAAGGCAAACATGGGTTCTAACTTATCTAAAGGGCAGAAAGCTTTTCTGCATATATTACAACTTCTTAAGGAAGCAAAGTATAAAGTGAAGGAAAGGCATCTAGTTCAGCTTTTGCAATCTATAAGAAAATATTGTCCATTTCCTCATAAAGGGACGCTGGACATTGATGTATGGGAAAAAGGGGGTGACAGGTTGAAATCTTTGCAAGACAGTGGTATATCTATTGGTTCACACACCTTTGAGACCTGGAGGCTGGTCAGGGATACTCTTGAGCCCATTTGGGCAAGAAAGGTGGATCTAGATGAAGAAGAGTCTGATTTGGAGAGTGAAACTGTGTGCAATTCCAGAGAGCAGGTTACAAAGGCCCTGCCTTCACCCCCACAGAGGTTTGTCACAGCCACAGGAGAGCAGCTCCTCCAGAGATGAGTCACCACCAAGAAAGCAAGAAAATTCAGGCAAATCCCCCGATAGGTCTATGAGAAAGTGCCTTCGCCAGGCAGCAGAGAAGGGGAACTGGGAGGCTTTATCTGCCTTCCCCATTATGGTTAGGGGACAAAGGAACATCCACGAGCCGCTCCCCTTCCCATTTTATAATGATTTAAAAAGAAGCATTAAAGAAAATGGGCTCTGATCTCCCTGTACCAACGGGTTATTACAAGCCATTACTGATAGTTATAAGATAGCTCCTTGTGATTGGTATGCTCTTGCCAGGACAGTTTTAACCCCAGCTCAATACACTGTCTGGTATTCAGAATATTGCCAGCAGGCCGGTGCCCAAGCAGCCGAGAATAAAGTAATGCAAAATCCGGTTACTCTTCCCATGTTGATTGGATCTGGTAAGTTCGACAGGGCTGCAGCTCAGGCACAACTCCCTCCCCTCGCTTACAATCAGTGCGCACATATTGCCCTAAGAGCTATGAAAATGGTGCCTGATTCTCAGACTAGGGAAGTTTCTTCCTTTGTTAATATCCATCAGGGTGCTTCTGAGGCTTATATAGATTTCATTGATTGCCTCTAGGAAGCCATTGAAAGACATGTAGATAATGAAAAAGCAGCCGAAACTATCTTACTTCAGCTGGCTTATGAGAATGCTAATTCAGACTGCAGATCTGTCTTAGGCCTTCTTTGGGCAACTACAAAAGATATTAGTGAATTTATTAAAGCTTGCCAAGATATTGGCACCGAGCAGCATAAAGCTTCTCTTTTAGCTGCCGCAATTAAAGAAAATTCTTAATGTTATATTTGTGATCAACCTGGTCACATGCATAAAGACTGCCCAAATTTATAGAAAGAAGGAAAGAGTAACCATACATCTTCAGATACAGAGGGTTTCTGATCAGAAACAGAACCAAATTGAAACCACATTCCCATAAAATCAGCAAATGAGCAGTGAGGTTTCCTTTCCTCTAGGTTTAAAACTTTCACATCTCCTACATAGTTTTACTCATCCAGATTTAAACATAATTCATTTTTAATCCCTGTTTCTTTCCCACACTGGGAAGGACTATACTTAAGCTCAGTATCTGACAGCCAAAAGTCCCTAGCACTACAGGTACCTTCCACTAAAAGTCCCTAGATTTGCAGGGACATCCTGCAGCTTTCTGGAGCTCAGACCTTGCAAACAGCCCATAAAACAGATGATCACCCTTGGACCCCAGTTTATGACCTTCAGAATCAGAGCCCTCCCTACCAGAACCAGTTGCACAGAGAACTTGACTGGTACAGTGCCCACATAGCAGCAACACATAGCCTATAATCTGAAGAGAACACTTAGCCTACCATCTTGCCCAGTTCCAAGATGGTGAACTCTCAGGTAACCCATCATCCAAGATGGCAGTGCCCATGCACCCTGGGTTGTCCAAAATAGTGACAACCATGAATGCTGGGTCATCCAAGATGGCGAGGCGCATGCATGACTTGTCCTCTATGGTGGGTCACTCACATGGCTCATCCTCCATTTTACCCAAAATTGTGGTGCACCCACATGGCTTGCTGTCCAATTCCAAACATACATGTAGGGTCAGCTTACAGGGCCTAGGGGTTTGCTTCCTCCCCAAACCTTGAGTACAGGTTCCCTTAGTGCCACCTGGGCTTACCAAAACTGTAAGTGAGCAGACAGGGGCAACCTGGGAGGGCATATTAACCAAACCATTATCCACAACTCCATTATTCCAAAACAGGGTTCAGAAACAAGTTTTTAACCAAACCATTTCACTTCTCTGCTCCCTCCCCTGTTTCATTTTTTTTTTTTTCATCTTTCTGGGCATGATTAGACAGCTGATGCCCTCAGGAGGAGTGCAGAGAAATTCTCAGAGACTGGGAAAATTCTGAAGTCTCACTCTCCCGCACCTGAGGGTGTCGGTCTGCCACAGGCAATTACCGTCCCTTTGTTGTCACAGAAAAAACTGTTACAGAACAGATGTGGGGAGGGCTGAATGGTATAAAAGATCCCTCCTTTTCTCCAGGGGTTCCTCCCCATGTATTGGGTTTGTTTTGCCCACTACCTGAGGAAAGACATCTCTCAATACCAGAGATCAGTGAAAAGGAAAGGAATTTATTATTTATTTGAGATAATACAAACTAAAATTCTCCACAAATGCACACAGTTCTCCTGGCACCCTCCATGTGGCAAAAAGGAGCACTTCTAAAGCCTCATGGTCCTGACTCTCACCGAAGCCACGTGGTCACAAAAACAGACATGTGGTCCCAAAAAGAGGTCTCCACTTAAATGCCAGCACCAGTCTTCTTCTGCAGCCTCATTTTTGGCTCCTCCCACAATTGGCCACAGCTGCCAGCATTCTGGGAAGGTGTGGCCCTGTGGTGTGGACCAATTATCTCCAAGCTCTTCTGGACCCTGTTACAAATCCCTATTTGGGAGCCCCTCTTGGCTGTACCCTGTTATAATAGGAGCAATTATTTTAGAAAAAAATGAAAGTTCTCTATGTTAATAGTGTGAAAGCAATGTGGTGGTAGAAAAGGGCAAAGGGGTGAGTGGAGGAAACAGAATCCAAGAGAATATAGGGGCAGTAATCTCCTCATTGCATGGTAGAAATTGAAGTTGTAAAAGCAGGCAGAGGGCCAGAGGACCTTTTTCTAGAAAAAAAAGGATAGCATCTGAGAAGACACTAACACTAATTTTTAAAGAATCCCCATCCTGAAAGAAAGGGGACATCTGAAAACCCAGTGACTCAAACCAGGACAACAAAGTTGTTTTCCACATGCTATCAGGAGGCAGTCAGCATGACTGAGCTTTTGGGGATACAGCAATGACTCTTCAATAATGCTCCCTCTTTAGGCTGTCTTCCCTTCCTTGTCTTACTGATCCACTCAGGCACAGAGCTGTATGGAGCCACTTCCCAAGGAAATTAGTTAACCACAAATCCTGCCTCAGGGAAACCCAAAATAAACATCAACCAAAAGGAACTCCTAGTAGCAGGAGCCCATAATAGTTTCTAAGACTGTGACTAGAAACCTTCCATTTTAAGCAGGTTTCTCTAATGGTTCAAGCCCCTCTGATACCTGCCATTCAGTGAAATGCTGCCATACACCATAACCTCACTGCAGTCTATGCAGGTAATTAAATGAAAGAAGCTAATATTCTCCAGAGTTCTGTGTACAAATGAGAGATGAGACAATCAAGGAATCTGAGATATGAATGAGAGAGACAGAGAGAGAGAGATTTCAGGAGAAGTGAAGTTGGAGGAAGTGGTGAGTAGAAGGAACAAAGACTCCAAAAATAACCCTAAGATATAAAGGTGATTGGTATGGGGTTTCTCCTCACATGTGAGATAGGCACTCAAGGCTTTTTACATTTCTATTAAATAAAATGAAGACATCAGATGAAAGACTTGGGAATGCACAAGTGGCTGCCATGTGGGTTTCACATTCACCAATCTTTCAGAGTTTGTTCTCTGGGGGTGAAATAAGTGGGTCAGGCACCATCATAAATATCCCTTTTCCCCTTTGTGTAAGGGAAAAGTCAGAGGTATAGCCTTAGTGACTCACAGACCAAGTGGATGGGGTTTAGAAAATGGAATAACTCCCTTCAAATAGGAGAGAACAGACAAGGCTCTGGGGTGTGTTGACACTTAGTATAAATACTGAGGGCCTGAGTGATTTGCACATGGGGAACTGTGGTGTAAAGGTCATTCAGGGAAATGTAACTGATGTGAAGCCAAGCCCATATTCAAAATCCATACAATAAAATGAATGCATTGACTTTATGTAATGGCTTTGTTTATGGACCTTATTCCATGAAGTCCTAATGATCACAAAGACAAAATTGTGTTTGATAATGAAATTTTTATGAAAAATGTGCAATTAGTGTCCAAAAAAGCAAAAATATAAACCACAAGATAATCAATAATTCTATAATCTCAAAGGACTAGCAAAAACATTAGCAAATTAGCTGTTCTAGGTATTTATTACAATGAATGTTGGTGTCAGTGGGATGGTAGGGTTGCTAGACTAGAGTGATCCATATTGAATTGAACGCAGCAAGGCACTTTTTTCTCCCTCTTCTGAGAACAATTACAGTGATGACTCCAGAGTCATTTCCTCTCCTTCTCTGTCTCTCGTTCCAGGAGTTCAATTTCTAAGGACAATTTATACAATTCCAGGGCCATTCTCACATCCTCTGGTCTCGGGAGACACTGCATGAGTTTTCTGCCTGCTAGAACTTGTTCACAGCCTGAAGGGAACTCCTAAAAGAGATATAGCTGGTGAGTGTGGTTGAGAGGCTTCTCCCCAGATCATGAGAATGGCAGGACTACAGGATCAGGTCCCAGACCAACCCCGGGTTTGATGGGTGAGAAGGAAACCAAAGTCTCCCCCTGAGGGATTTCGACCTGTTCTGAGACAGCTTCCCGGAAGGCCTCTGTGGAACAGAGTTATTTTGGCCAAGAATCCAAACACAGAACACAGTGTACTGTATAGTCTAGAAAAGGAAAGTTAGGAGTCAGTGCCCCCAGGCCTCTGACAATGTCCTCTCCTCCGTAAGGGGCTTGGTGTTTCCTGTTCTCAAGTGAGAGCAGGACAACTTGCCACCCTAACTGACCAGAGTGCTTCCAGGGAAAACAAGAGAGCTCTTTTGAATGACTCAGGGATCTATCCTGGCAGGTCAGATCTCGCCTTTGCTGGCTGGGACAGTGCTTTAAGGTGGTACCATTTTTAGGGTTTGATAGCACAGGAACTTCCTTGAATTGTTCCACTTACCCACTCACACTTGGGCACCTCTGGATACCAGGTATGGTTCTCTAAGCAGGTGATATTTTGGCGACCAACCACAGTATAGCCTGAAGTACACTCGATGGTGATATTTTCAGATTCAACAAATTGATCTTTATCCCCAAACACCTTTCCGTGCTCTATCTCTGGTTTTGGACACAGTACTACAATAAAAGCACAGTTAAGTAATCTGTAAAGTTAAGAAAAAAGACATGGGAACAGACTAGGATATTAAAATGAACTACATGTAGGTGCTTCTAATTATAATTAGATATAATATAATTTTTATATTTTATAATTTTTATATTTTCCTATTTTGATAGCAATGATATTAGCTCCCATTTTTATTGAGGATTGACTCATATCAGTCATCTAGGCTGAGCATTTTATGTGATTTTCTCATTTAAGTCTCACTCTTCTCTATGAAGTGAGCACTCTTACTACTGCCATTTATTCAGGAGAAAATGAGATACAGAGGGGTAAGAAACTTGTTCAAGACATAACATCTCTAAATAACATGACAGGGTATTAAAAAGTCACATGACCCCGGATTCGCAGCTGTCAGTGCAACTATTCCTCATATTGTGTTCCACAAAAGACACCAGGGATGAAATCTTCCTTCTTGCCTATTATCTCCTATATGCCTATATGCAATGATGGCAAAGTGTTACTAGACCCGTGTGCATGTAAAAATCGGACCTGATCTTGACTCCTCCTGCCCTACAACAGGTTGGAAAACTGGGAGTCCCCCACCACATGCCTCCATGACGGGAAGGTTGTGCCCTGTGTGAGGCTCAGATGGAAATACCTGCCACTTCCTGGTATTTGGAATTAGCCCATGAGAGTCTGCATTCATGCCTGAGCAAGTTTCCATGGAAATTTTGCTACAGGCCATAGCTACACTCAGAGAACTTACAGCCAGTAGACGACTTCCAGAAATACACAAGCAAGAGGGAATCTGGGCTGCCTCCAGGAGGCTGAATTGTGTAACTGGGAGAAAGAAGTAGGGGACATTCATGATCCTGTGTGCCCCTCAAACTTTTTGTTTTGGGTACCATCTAAATATAATAATTATTTAAAATAAATCCAATCAAATATTTTGTTCTGCCTCTGGATAGAAAGTTTATTCTCAATTCCTCCATGACAGTTCCACCCACTTAGCCATGGGCTGGAGTTACCTTTACATTGAGGGGCCAGAGCCGACCAGCGTGAATTACTGCAGGAGAGTGTGGCCTCTCCAACCAGAGTGTATCCTTCATCACATTCATATTTAACTTCCTTAGGTTGGAATAAGTATGAAGGCATTTGTATGAAATGTCCATAGGGACGTTTATACAAGAGGAGGATAAGAGCAACCTTGGTGGTAAGACAAAAAATGAGAGAGCTTGGGTTTGTAGAATATAAAACACAACACATCCCAGAATCTGTGTGGTTTGTAGGAGCCTTTGTCCTGCCCTGTTATCTTCTCTGCTCACAGGATCACTTAGCCAAAGCCAAGTTCCTGTGCTGCCCTCCTGCAAGCCTCAGAATGAAGAACTGTAGAAAGACTTGACTAGAATTTCAAGCACTGAGTTTGCTTCATATAAGTAACAAGTTCATAAACCTTTACACTCTTTAAAAACCATTTTGGCACAAAGGTTGGATTCAACCCAAAGTCATATTGTACTGATACTACACTCCATGCATTTCAGGCTAATTGCAGAGATGTACACCTGTGAGAAACAGTTTAAGATGCTAAATATATGCACAATCTCTGATTCATTGTGTCCAATCAAAACTGTTCATCCATCCCCACAAAGAAAATACTTACTGCATTGTACAATATTTTAGAAAAGAGCTCATAGAATGATTTAAAATGATTACTTGCATATTTAAATAATAGGCACAAAACATGTATAAAGGATCCATGGACAAGGGCAATGGGGTGGAGGATTGAATGTGGAAAAGTTGGCCAGACAGGGGGGAGTAAAGGTGGAAAAACATGGACAACTGTAATTGAACAAGACTAAAAATATTTTAATAAAATAAATAAGTAATAATGGACACAACATGGTGCACAGCACCATGAAAAGTTCTCTGAAAAGAAACACTGTCAGTATCCTCGAACACTGCATAAGAAAATTAAATAAAGCAGGTCATTAGGAATGTCAGATAACATATTATACTGATGGACTACAATAGTTGTAAGTTCTATCCTAAGATGCCTCCTAAAAGCATGGAAAACATAATGCTGCACAGTAAGTGAGTCTGGAATGCTGGGCTTGTCATGGCAGGAGAAAGAAGTAGGAATTAAATAACTCAGGGAAGTAAGCATCCTGAAGTGGATATACTGTGTAAGCTGGAAAATATCACCAGGTGATTCTGTTACATGGAAATGCCCGAAGAATACATGTACCAAGGACATAAGGAATTCCCCAAGACACTTCTTATCAAAGGCAAGAGCTAAAAATAGGAAGGTCATTAAAGAACAAGTTTCACTCTTATTGACAGCAGTCAGAGAAGTGCTCATTTGCTTCAGAAGTTAAGTAAACGTAATCTTCATAACGAATGACTAGGTGGAAAGACAACCAGAGCAGCCAACAAAGATACTGCTCAATTTGTACCATCAATAGAAATTAAGGATGGATAATCAGGAGACTGATGGCCTTTGGCCCAATTAAAAGTTCCAATCCTTGCTCAGTTTCTGGACCTGTGCCAATTTTTGTTGGGAACCGCCCTGACTGGTATCAGAGGCTGAAACCCCCACCTAGCTAAGGCTAAGGGAACGCCCTTGGAACCGTGAGCCAGCAAGGAGACAAAAGCTTGTCTTCCTGGCAGGAATGCTGCTTCTGCTGCTTTATTCATAACTGAACCCAAAAAGCTTGGTCGGTTAGCCAAAGACGGGTAAGATTCCCCACGGGGGGAACGACCCAAGCCAGGCATGATCACTTTGGGAGGCCCCCCAAAAGAAGGACTTGGGGGGCTGCAGCAAAAGGGGGGTGATGGACCCTCGCTCCTCGGCTCTGACATAGCCTGAGTTCTCAGCGTCTGGGAGAAAATCTCCTTATCTCTTGGTTACCTTAGTTCCCTTGCTCCACCTAAGCCTAAAACAATGACAGGGTGGTACAGCTCGGTACTGAGAAGTGCGGATTTCCCGGGGTGATCAGGCCTAAGAAAGAACATGTAAATTACTGTGAAACCTCCTTTGTTTAGAATGCTCTCAGTTGAATGAGAAGGGTCTTAGGAGGAAGTTAGTTTGTTCCTCAGTCTTACAGCTCTTTGACCCCAACTCAATAGACCGGCAGAGTTCTTTGTTTTCTATAGTTCCTTACTTCCCCTAATGAGTACTGTACTTTACCTGAATTATTATGCAAAATGAGCCCAATAAAAGCAGGTATGGACTGTAAATCGCGCGCTCCCCCACTAGGGGGGGTGGCCATTTCGTCCCTACTTCCCCACAGAAACTAGTCTGTCTCTGTGCATGTGGTGTTTTTTCTCGCGTGTTTATCGTCGAGCCATCCACAGCGTTCCGTGGTCACTGCTGGCCGGTGACCCACGCGCAACAAGTTTTCATGTCCGGAGATCATTGACTAAAGAAAAAAAGACAGCTCCCAGAAATAAAGATTCTACAACAGCTCAGTAAAGTATGCATAGTAATGAGTTCCCCAGGTTTCCAAGTTTTTTACATAGGTAACTGTGCACTGGTGAAAGGTGCAAAGTAAACTGAGGATTACTGAGCATAGAACTTGCATTGACATCGATACCTGTAACCAACATAGTCCCCCTATTAGGCCACTTGGTGGTCATTTCCATTGTCTTTGAAAGTATAATCAGAGTCAACAAAGTTGGTCATTAGCACAGCCCCCATATTGGGTCGCTGGCCTACCGGGTGAGAACTATCATATCTCAGAAGGCAAAGTAGAAGCCATACATATGACCACCACTCTTCCCCCTTAAGGCAAAGAAGGGAACTTTTTAAAAATATCATGTACGGAGGGGGAGGGGGGAATTGGTACCAATCTTTTAATCCTCATAAAGGATTAAAGATGCTAAAGTGGTCATTCCCATTTCCCTCATCTGTCTACTACAAAAATTAGGATTCTAGAAAATTACAGTAGACTATTGAAAATTCAACATTTTAGTCCCCATTGCAACCACTGTGCTAGATGTGGTATCTTTGCTAAAGCAGATTAATATGTCTTCAGATAAACCAGGCTACTGTTTTATCAAAGGCATTCTTTTTCATCCCTGTTAAAAAAGAAGATCAGAAACAGTTTGAGTTTGAATACACATGAAATGGTCAAAATCATATATTTCCACTTTTAACCCTACTAGCCCTTCTCAGGATAGAGTCCGAAGCTTTCAGGGGCATCTGGACATCCGCAGAATATCATGTTGATCCAGCCCACCAGTGGCATCAAGTGAATTCTACCTGATAAGCCAGAAGTAGGTGGTATGATGATGCTCTGGAGTATAGAAGGTAAAGAAGGAAGGAAGGAAGGAAGGAAGGAAGGAAGGAAGGAAGGAAGGAAGGAAGGAAGGAAGGAAGGAAAGTTCAGAAAATCAGGTTCAAATGGATTTTGGCAAGTCTTGTTTTCCAGGTTAAGACATATAGGAAGGGAAGAGAAGAGAATAAATATCAAGAAATAGAATGTAATAATTTAAAAGGCTAATGATCTACTGCATGTGGTCTATATTCACTGATTCAGGAAAATGCAAATAAACAATGTGGGGAAAAGGAGAAATTTGAACTGGAGGCAGTGCTTTTGAATATATTTATCCATTCCAAGAATCATGCAGAGTACCCAAATTCTTCTCCCTAATTTGAAACCTTTCCTTAATAATCTCCATTACTTTGTTATGAAGAAACTTCTAAAATCACATAATTCCATAACCTCTTACTCTCATCACATGTTGGTGTCTCAGGACTCTAGGTGCCATCTGCTGGGCAGGAAGCTTCAACACTTTGTCTCCCACTACATGAATACCAAAGCGAGTCTCCATGGAAACATTCACAGTTACTGGCCAAACCTTTCTTTCTCAGGGTAGTGATTCTGCCATTCTTTAGGTCTGGTACTGGGCAACATACCTCTAGAAAAAAATCATGAGACATAGTTAGTAAAACCATACTGAGGAGGTGCCTGTGGCTAACAATCTCATTTCCACCTTCACAAGAGCTCACTGCAGAAGAGAGGCTCGGGAAACACACTAGGGTACAAGAGACATTTTGAGTACTCGCTCTTTGTCCCTGATTTGCTAAAGCAGTCCAACCCAGTCATATTCCTCCAGCTATATCATTTCATAGGTGTCTCCAAAATGAGAAGTTGGATTAAGCCTTCCGACTTCTCATTTTCAAAAATGTTTCAAGAGCAATGGCAGTGTTTATCTTCTCTTGGCTTCATTAGGGCTGAAACCACATAATGATAGTTTCAGAATTGTATATTTCTAGAAATAAAAATTTAAAAACATTTACCAACCTATGGGTGTTTGGAAGACCCCTTCCCAGCCTTTCTCATGGATTCTTTAAACTTTACTATCACTATGTTATAGAAACCCTTCTTCCATAGGCTAATCTAACCAAATACACCACCCACATTCCCATCATTATATCCTATGTCCTACCTAGAATGACACTCTTTTTCTCTGCTAGCTATTCATGTCCCATGGGCTCTGTGAAGGCTTCCTTGTCTTAGCACCCCAGCAAATATTCATTGTTTATTTCTCAGCTTCTGTGGCAGTTAATAAGAAGAGATTATACATTCTATACAATTGTTTATTGAAATCTTACCATAATCTAGACACTACATATACAAGGTCTTCCCAGAAGGTGTCCAGGCATGTAATACGGAAAATAGAGACATTTCCTGAAGAAGATATAAGAAACATTGTACATGGGACAATGATGCCTCAATCCCCTTCAGAGCAGGCACCTTGGGACTTCACACAATTCTCCCAATTGCCAACTGCTGTCCTATAATGTTTTCCTGACTCTCATTGACAGTCTGAAATCTCTTCTCTTTCAAAGGGAATTTTAGTTTTGGGAAAAGCCAGAATTCACAGGATGCCACATCTGGGCTGCACAGAAGCTGACTCACCTGGGTGATTTGATGTTTTACCAAAAAAGTCTCTGCACAAGATGTGATGCATGTCATGCTGAAGCTGCCAATCTCCAGTTGCCCATAGCTGCAGCCTTCTGAATCATCCAAATAGTTTCCACAGAGGAATGCTTATGCTTAATGCAAAATTTGATAGAGATTCATCGCTCTGCTTGCTCAGCCATTTTGAATGTGATGGCAACAGAGTACACATGCTCACTCAACAGCATCTACCACCCCCCACTGACTAGTACAATGAAATCATCATTGTTCATGCATGTGCCTTCCAGTCCAGTCTCCTAGGCTGCCAGGTTACATCAATGTCTCACAAACCATTCTCCTTATACCAATGATTGGACTTATGCCAGAAAGACCTTGTACAGTATCTATGTATACTATGACACTATGTACACCATACTATGTATACTATAGATACTATGTATCTATAGATACTGTGTATACATAATCTAGTCATAGCATTTTCCCAACCTTTTATAGCAGAAAACAGACTCTTGCAGAGCTTAAGTTTCTTTGTCCAAGTGAGGCAGCTACTGCCTAGTATAACTGAGACCTGTCTTGCTCAGAAGTCCATGTTTTCTATGGCTTTATTCTATACCCTAGTAATTACTTAACAGTTGATTTACACTATCCACATTCACATTTTTGAGTATAGGCAACATGTCTCAAGTATCTTTGTGTCTTTGCTCTTGAAATAAATTGAAGGTACTAAAGAGATATCCCCTGTGTACAAGTCAAAGGCTCACAAATGGAATTTTCTAAGCCTCAGATCAAACACATTATTAGAAAATACCTTCTTATGAATTGAGCCAACAAATGCTTATATAATTTAGTCCTTATAAGCCTGTTCGTCAGACACTGAGGCACATTTTTGCAATACTGTAAAGAAAATAAGGCATAACCATATGAATAGCAAAACCACAGTGTCAATCAATTTATAACAATGTATCTAAAGACAAGAAATGCCAATAAGATGGATATAAACAAAGAAAATGAAAACTGAGGGAGAAAGGATACAATAACATTTCCTAGAGGGAACTGGAAGTATATTTTAAGATTTGAATAAAAATTTCTTTGATGGATGAGATACAAGTAAGCATTTTGTCTTGAAGTGGTGATTAGAGCAGAGACTTAAAAGCAGCAGAAAGTTGTTCTTGAAGAATGAAAGAGAGGCAAGCTGAGAAACTAGAGTAAGACATTTGGGCATATCCTATACTCCACATGGTCCAAAGGTAAGGTGGAGTTTTCAGGAAATGGAAGAAGAGGGGATAAATACAAAGGAACCTGAAGGAATCAGGACAAGTCTCTGTGACTTCTTGAACATAATCTACACTCACCACCTCACAAAGAAAAAGGAGGCCTAGAGGGACAAGGCAATGATACTCAGGGAAGATAATGAAAGTGCTTTGGAAATATAATAGGTTTAGCCATTTCAACTTCCTAGAGAGGAGAATTACTCAGAATATGTGAGTTCTTTTACCTAACTTTAAAATTTCATTTACAATATCCATCATTATGATGTAAAAAAATCCAAAATAATATACTTTGGAACCCCCTTTGAAAAGTAATTCTGAAGTCACTCTGTGATATTAAGGAAGTTCGTAAGGCTCAAAGAGCATGGTATCCTTCTGGAGCCCTACAAATTAAACTTGACAAAGGCAGACAGGTCACACTGGGGACTCCATGTTCCCTCTGCTTGCCATGTAATTCTTGTATCATAAAAATTGGGAAAAATTCTCAATATCCCCTGAATAGGAAACAGAGTCTCCGTTGAAAGAGACATGGCTATTGGTGAAATCTCTTCTTTTCTGAGTGATTTTGTCATTCTGTGCAAAATGTTCTACATTATTAGCTCTAGTAGATGGTATAAGGGGTATGTGTATAAATATTTTAAAATTATTCTTAGAAATTCTTTCTTTAAAGGAATAACTTACATTACTACATGAATAAGAAATGTTACTTTTGTTAGCATATTTCTATTTAAAAATGAAAACAATTACTCATATCTTCATTTATAATCAGCACTACCATAGAGGGACATAGAGGGACATGTGGGACCTGGCAAACTCTTCCAGTGCTCACTTATTGGGGACTATTATTCCCTAATTTTCAATACAATATCTTACACTTATATAATTTTGTTAGTTTATACAGTACTTTGTAATTTTACTTTAATACATTCACTCATTTCTAATACTATAATTTCTTCTGGACTGCAAAGTTTTCTATTCAACTGTCAATATGCAATAGGAAAATAATTAACCCGAAAGAATAATTAATTCTTTGATAATGTAGGAGTATCTTTTTTCCTTTTTTTCATTTTTTATTTTTTATTTTAATCATTGTTCAAGTATAGTTTTCTCCCTTTTACTCCCAATCCAACCCCGCCTCCCAACCCTCCCCACTTACCTCCCATTACCACCCTCCACCTAGTTTTTGTCCATGTGTCCTTTAAACTTGTTCCTGTAAACCCTTCCCATTCTCCCCTGAAATTCCCTCTCCTCTCCCTTCTGGGCACTGTCAGCCTGTCCTCTATTTCAGTGTCTTTGGTCATATTTTGCTTGTTTCTTTGTTTTGTTGTTTAGGTTCCTGTTAAAAGTGAGATCATATGGTATTTGTCTTTCACTGCCTGGCTAGTTTTGCTTAGCATAATACTTTCCAGCTCCATCCAAACTGTTGCAAAGGGTAGGAGCTCCTTTCTTTCTGCTGCACAGGATTCCATTGTGTAAATGTACCATAGTGTTTTGATCCATTCGTTTACTGATGGGCATCTTGGTTGCTTCCAGCACCTAGCTAATGTAAATTGTACTGCTATGAACATTGGGATGCATAGGTTCTTGTGCATTGGTGTTTTAGTGCTCTTAGGATATCGTCCCAGCACTGGAATTGCTGGGTCAAAAGGCAGACCCATTTTTAGTATTCTGAGGAAGTTCCATACTGTTTTCCATAGTGGTTGTACCAGTCTGCAGTCCCACCAACAGTGCACTAGGGACCCCTTTTCTCCACAATCACTCCAACACTTGTTGTTTGTTGCTTTGTTTATGATGGCCATTCTGACTGGTGTGAAGTGGCATCTCATTGTGGTTTTAATTTGCATCTCTCTCATAGCTAGCGATATTGAACATCATTTCATGTGTCTTTGGATTTTCTGTATGTCCTCCTTGAAGAAGTGTCTGTCCAAGTCCTTTGCCCACTTTTTAATTGGATTCCTTGTCTTCTTAGAGTACAGTCGTCTAAGTTCTTTATAAATTTTGGAGATTAAATCCTTGTCTGAGGTATCATTGGCAAATATATTTTCCCATACAGTTGGTTCTCTTTTAATTTTGATACTGTTTTCTTTAGCTGTGCAGAAGCTTTTTATTTTGATGAGATTCTGTCTGTTTATTCTTTCCTTTATGTCCCTTGCTCTAGGGGACAAGTCAGTAACTAAGTTTCTGCGTGAAATATCTGAGATTTTCCTACCTATGTTCTCCTCTAGTACTTTAATGGTGTCACATTTTATATTTAAGTCTTTTATCCACCTTGAATGTATTTTTGTATATGGTGTAAGTTGGTGCTCGAGTGTCATTTTTTTACACGTAGCAATCCAGTTCTCCCAACACCATTTGTTGAAGAGGCTATTTTTACTCCATTTTATGTTGCTGCCTCCTGTGTCAAATATTAATTGGCTGTAGAGACTTGGGTTTATTTCTGGGCTCTCTGTTCTGTTCCATTGGTCCATGTGCCTGTTTTCATACCATTACCATGTTGTTTTGATTACAGTGGCCTTGTAGTATAGTTTAGTATCAGGGATTGTGATCCCTCCTACTTTACTCTTCTTTCTCAAAATTGCAGCAGCTATTCATTTATGATTCCATATAAATTTTTGAAGTGTTTGTTCTATGTTTGTGAAATAAGCCATTAGTACATTAATAGGAATTGCACTGAATGTGTAAATTGCTTTGGATAGTATGGACATTTTGATTATATTAATTCTTCCAATCCATGAACATGGTATATGTTTCCATTTGTTTGTGTCTTCCTTGATTTTTTTCCTGAGTGTTATGTAGTTTTCTAAATACAGTTTTTTTACCTCTCTGGTTAGGTTTATTCCTAGATATTTTATTTTTCTTTTTGCTATTGCAAATGGGATTTTTTTCTTGATTTCTGCTTCTGTTGTTACATTGTTGGTGTACAGAATTGCCTTTGATTTCTGGATATTGACTTTGTATCCCGCTGCTTTGCCAAATTCATTTATTAGGTCAAGCAGTTTTTTGGCTGAGTCTATAGGATTTTCTATGTACACTATCATGTCATCTGCAAACACTAACAGTTTTGTTTCCTCCTTTCCGATTTGGATGCCTTTTATTTTTTTCTTGTCTGATCACTGTGGCTAAAACTTCCAGTGCTATATTGAATAGAAGTGGTGAAAATTGACATCCTTGTCTTGTTCCTGATCTTAGTGGAAAAAATTTAATTTTTGCCCAATGAGTATGATGTTGGTTGTAGGTCTCTCATATATGGCCTTTATTATGTTGAGGAATCCTCCCTCTATTCCCACTTTGCTGAGTGTTTTTATCATAAATGGGTTCTGTATCTTATCAAATGCTTTTTCTGCATCTATTGATATGATCATGTGGTTTTGTCTTTGCTTTTGTTTATGTGATGTATTACATTTACTGATTTGTGAATATTGAACCATCCTTGCATCCCTGGAATGAATCCCACTTGGTCCTGGTGTATGATCTTTTTAATGTATTGTTGGATGTGGTTTGCCAGTATTTTGTTGAGGATTTTAGCATCAATGTTTATCAGTGATATTGGTCTGAAATTTTCTTTCTTTGTTGTGTCTTTATCTGGTTTTGGAATTAGGATGATGTTGGCCTCATAAAAAGAGATAATGTAGGAGTATCTTTTAAATATAATAAATTAACATAAAAACCAAAAAAATAAATAAAGAAAAGTTTTTTGTGGCTAGATTAGCTGCTCAAGTATTGGTAATATTTTGGTTTACAAATTTTGTAATTGTAGCCTATACCAGAAATACTAAAATTAGTTAAGTATATTTCTTAATAAAACACTTCTTTGAACTCTTCAAAAATTGCACTGAATTATTCACATTTGCTTATATTTAACTGATTCTTAATCAGAAATTCTTTCCCATACCTTGGTTTAAACACACCCATCCTGACTTCTGGCCAAGTTGGAGGTGTAGGGAGATACACTGTGCCTCCTCACACAACCAAAAGAAGAACAACAACAAATTTTAAAACAAAAGCAACCAGAACTGCCAGAAAACTAATGGCCACCTGAGGCAGAGATGTCTTGTGTCAAAGCAGCAGCTGGCAGACCTAGCGAGATGGCTGTTGGTAGAGTGGGCAGTCCCACATTTGTGTGCAGATAAACTGGGAGGAACAACTAGGGAGCAAAACAGACTGCACAATCCAGGTTTCCGGAGGAGGGAAATAAAGCCTCAAAACCTCTGACTATAAAAACTTTTGGGAATGGCAGCAACAGGAAAAATGTCCAGCCACTCAGGAGACATTGTTGCAGAGACCCACAGGGTCCTAGAATATGCACAAGCCCATACACCCAGGAGCCAGCACCAGAAGGGCCAAATTTGCCTGTGGAAAGGAGGGAAAGTGACTGAAAACCAGACAAGAGCCAAGCAAACAGCATTATTCCCTTTTGAGTCCCTCACCAACATACAGTGCCACAGTGCAAGCATTAGGTTGCCCTGCCCTGGCAAATACCTAAGGCTGGGCGCGTTAGGACAAAACAGGCATGCTGATACAAAAAAAAATGGCCCAAATGAAAGAACAGATCAAAGCTCAAAAATACAACTAAGGAATAATGACATGGCCAGCCTATCAGATGCACAATTTAAAACACAGGTGATCAGGACACTCACAGAATTGGTTTAGTACAGTCACAAAATAGATGAAAAAGTGAAGGCAGGCTATGAAAAGTGAAATAAAGGAAAATGTACAAGGAACCAACAGTGATGGGAAGGAAACTGGGACTCAAATCAATGGTTTGGAGCAGAAGGAAGAAATGAACATTCTACCAGAACAGACTGAAGAAATAAGAATTCAAAAAAGTGAGGAGAAACTTAGGAACCCCCAAGACAATTTTAAATATTCTAACATCTGAATCATAGGGGTGCAAGAAGGAGAAGAGGAAGAGCAAGAAATTGAAAACTTATTTGAACAAATAAGGACGAACTTCCCCAATCTGGCTAAGGAAATAGACTTCCAGGAAGTCCAGGAAGCTCATAGAGTCCCAAAGAAGTTGGACCCAAGGAGGAACACACCAAAGAAAATCATAATTATATTACCCAAGATAAAAATTAGGGAGAGAATCCTAGAAGCAGCAAGAGAAAAGGAGACAGTTACTTACAAAGGATTTCCCATAAGACTATCAGCTGATTTCTCAAAAGAAACCTTGCAGGTAAGAAGGGGCTGGAAAGAAGTGTTCAAAGTCATGAAAGGAAAGGACCTACATCCAAGATTGCTCTATCCAGCAAAGCTGTCATTTACAATGTAAGGGTAGATAAAGTGCTTCCCAGATAAGGTCAAGTTAAAAGAGTTCATCATCACCAAGCCCTTATTATATAAAATATTAAAGGATTTATCTAAGAAAAAGAAGAAGATGAAAACTATGAACAGTAAAATGACAACAAACTCACAACTATCAACAACCACACCTAAAACAAAACAAAAATGAGCTAAGAAAACAACTAGAGCAGGAACAGAATTACAGAAAGGGAAGTCACATGGAGGGTTATCAGTGGGGGAAGCTGGGAGAAGTGGGGAGAAATGTGCAGGGAATAAGTAGCATAAATGGTAGGTAGAAAATAGACAGGGGGAGGTTAAGAATAATATAGAAAATGTTGAAGCCAAAGAACTTATGTGTATGGCCCATGGACATGAACTACAGGAGGGGATGCAGGTAGGAGAAGGTGTGAAGGGTGGAGGGAAATATATAGTGGAAAGTAGGATGACTGTGATAGCATAATGAATAACATATATTTAAAAATAAAATAGAAAATAAAAACACCCACCTTCCCTATCATGTCTATACTTACCACATAGGACAGGTAGGCTTTGCAATAGAAATAGAACCCGAGGAGGCACAGTGCTGGGAAAATTCTCTGCAACTCAGGAAACATGGTGAGGCATCTCAGACATACAGCACTGGGGCTCAGTGTTCTCAGATGCCATGATCCAGCTAAAGCAGGGGTTTTAAGTGAGTAGGAAAATGACTCCTGACAAGGAACTAAATCTTGGCTATGGCACAGCTTTGAATGACTAAAGGGGAGGGACAGAACTGAGTAGCTTATGTAAAGGATGGGACCCGACCAGGACAATCCAATAAAGCTCCAAGTCTTGCAGACAATGCTATGACCTTAACATGAGTGCTGTCTGGGATTATGAGGGTATTTACAATCACAACCCCAAGAATTCTTATTTGAAGGGAACACTTGTTGGCCGGTTGTCTACATCATTTATCTTTAAGTAATCAAGCAAAACTAGGAAAATTATTTGTGTTTGACTAATCAAGAAAAGCTAGGAAAACAATGTGAGTAGCAGTTTCTTCAAGGGTCAGGGTGAGATCCTGAGGAATGTTCTCTGCCATCTCCTGGGTGTGTCAGGTCTTCATTCACTAGTGTCAGTTCCCAGCAGGAAGGAATGACGGATAAGAAAGATCTCAAGTTCAATTTTCTTCCCAAGTATTAACAGCCTAATTGGAATAGAGAAAGCATGTTAATCTTTAACTGTGAAAAGACAAAAATAAAGTCCAAACAACAATTATTTACCCAATACTTAAGTTTTCTTGAGTATCTGACACCAAATTAACCTTACTAGTTGAAGAGTAAAAGGGAAATTTCTTAGAGTGGTGCTTCAAGCACAGGCAAAACACACATGGAAAATTAAATGGTAGAAGATTAAGTATTATAAATGGACAAAGGATCATGACAACTTTAAGAGATTCTCAATGGCACTGAATTGGAGTAAAGAACCTTCTAGCCCAGCATTATATCTCTGACAAAAGCACTAAATGATAAGTAGTAGAAGGCATGTTTGTTAACTTCCAAGACTTGGTTTATTATTAACTATTTGAATTAGAACTGGTACACTAATAATTATCTGGGTTCTTTATTCATTATTTCTTTTAGTCTCTGCAAAAGGCACAAGTGAAGTTACCAACCTGGATTTCATGTTTTCCCCCTTGGACAAGCTGTGGATATCTGTTGCATGAAGATACCTAGATATTCATCCATAGTGGATGGTAAACACTGAAAAATGTCTGCAAGTGACCATCATCCCACTGAACTGTGATGAGCACACTATGAAGCCTATAACAACCAAATTGCTGAGTTCTCAAAAAAAAATAAAGAGGAACATTCCTCAGCAGAAAACAAGTGGAATCCTCTGCAATATTGATGACAGAACAATTAAATTTCAATCCTACTGGAAAGAAAGGAAATAAATCCAACATGAAGTTCCTTCAATTAGTAGAAAGGAACTAAAACAAAATCTGAGTATATCAGATAAAAAAGGTAATTTAAATAATTTAACAGATTGTTTTCTAGAAAACAGCTTCTGCTTAGTTATCATTTTCCAAACTTTTAAATAAATAATAGCATTTAATTTCTTAAAGCAAAAATCTAACATAGGTATTATAGCCATATTTTACAAAAAAGAAAACTGATTCAGAAAGACTGAGAATGCTTCCCAAGAACTTACTCATCAGTAGCCATGTCGAATTCTGAACCCAAGTCCAGTTCAAGTCCAAGCTCCTTCTACTAATGCCATACTAATTTTCACTTAATGGAATAAGACTATGAAGTTTTCTTGTGAAAGATCCTGAACTTTACATTTAGAAGACAAAGTCTGTAAACCATCTGCTTCTACTATTGTGGAAAAACCCCAACAGCCTGCTCTATCAGGAGACCACATCCTTATATAATTTGACAAGAATTAGCCCCATGGCTTAGCTACAAAATTCATTAACTCAGGCCTCAGTCTCCACCTATGTTTAAAGAAGGGTTTGAGGCTAGAGTGGCCTCTACTTTTTCAGTTCATATATTCAAAGTTTGTGCAATAATGACAAAAAAGTGATTTAAATAGTATTTATTATCTTAAATAAAAGGTAAGAAGGGCAGGAACAGGATTAAAACCTTAGAGCATGAAATCCTACTCCTACGGTCCATGCAAGGATCACATCAACACCTAATGAATGAAGAAAATACATGAATGGATAAGAACTTGCTATTTGCCTTAGTCTGCCAAGAAGCAGTACTTGAGACAAGAATTTGAGTGCATGAAATTTATCTGTGGTGTAATTCTGTAGTGCACCATTAGAAAATAGGGATGTAAAAATGGAAGGGAAGGACTTAATGCAGCTTGCATTGGTGAGCTGGTTACCTCTGTAAGCAACGGAAACTAACTCTCTTAGGGAACCTCAGGCAGAGAATGTAGAACATGCCTCACACATATCTTGCCTGTGGGACAAGACAACTGGCATTTTAATCTACCAGTGTCCATTATGGTACCATATTTCAAGGATGCCATCCAACCACTTGACTTTTCATCACAGAGGATAGAGTGATTTGTTTTATTCAACAACAGATTCTTGTTTGGGTTTAGAGTTACTATCCCTGTGGCCAGGAAAGCCACCTGTGGACTTTCTGAACGCCTCATTCCCTGCTGTGGTATGATACTTGTGGTCAAGAAAGCCATTTAACAATGGAAAAAGTAAGTCAATGGACTGATGCTTCTGGGATTCATCAGTGCTACCTTGTATCCCTTCCCACAGAAGCAGCTGACCTTATAAAGGAGTGAAATAGTCTACTGAATGCTCAGTTAGCAGGAAAGAATACCTTATGAATTTTACATATTGATCTACAGGACAAAGTACATCTGAAATATCAGCCAGTAGCTGGAGCTACCCTGAGGGGTCATACCAGTGAGACCAAGGACACACATCATGTGAAGACAGAGATGCCAGAGGAGCCTCAGCTATTCTAGGCCCCAGCTGATTAACTCTTCCCAGGTCAGGTACTAGACATATGAGTGAGCAAATCAAACTTCCAAAGATTCCCAGTCTTTGAGTCAGTCTAGCTGATATTGAGTAAAGCAAAGTTGTTCCCGCAGAGTCCTTCCTAGATTGCAACTTTATAAACAAAACAATTATTATCATTTTAAGCCACCAAATTTAGGGTACTTTATTACACAGCAACAGATAAAATTACAGTGTTCTTTACACTAACAGCAAAAACAAAAATGTTTTCTATCACTTCAGTAAATGCAGAAAAAACATTTAATAAAACTCAACACCCACCTATGGTAAAATATAGAAGCTTCTTAGCAAATTAGGAATAGAAGGGACTATCTTTAATCTGGTTAAGAGTTTCTGCAAGAAATCCCCCAACAAGCAGTCTACATAATGCTGAAATATTAAAAAGTTTTCCTCCTGAGATTAATAATGAAACGAGTACAACTACTATCACCACTTGCATTTGACGTTGAACTGCACATCCTTTAATTGGAAATATGACATAAATCATGAGATAGGGAGATACTCAGGAGATAGGTAGATAGATAGATAATAGGTAGATACATAGCAGGAGAATTAAAAAGGAGGGCAAATTTATTACTCATAAGTGACCTAATTTAGAACTCAAAAAATCCAAATACACAGAAAATGTATTAGAATTAGAAAGTCACTGAATGCAAGGTAAATAACCAAAAACAATTTTATTCTATATACTGTCAACAAAGTTATTTTAAAAGACATTTTAGAAAGATATAATTTGAAATTCCAAGGGCCTAGGTATAACTCTAATGAAAGATGTATAAAAGCTCTTCACTGAAAGCTAAAGAGATAAATAAAAATCTAAACAAATATATTTGAGCAAAAAAGAAAAAGGACTCATGGACACAGACAACTGTGTGGAGATTGCAGTGGGGGAGAGGAGTGGGTGGAAGTGGAAGAGGGTATAAGGGGGCAAGTAGTAATAGAAAAAATACAATAAAAATAAAATAAATAAAATAAGTAAACATAGGAAAATACTATATTTATAAATTGGTAAAAGTTGTACACATGCCAATCATTCCCTAACTGACCTATAGATATCATGCATTCTATAAAAATTTAAGTAGCATTTTGACAGAGATTGACAAGTTGATCCTAAAATTCACATGGACTATAAAGGCTCAAAAGTTGTAAAAAATAAAGTCTCTAAGAGATGAAAGAAGAGACGGGGGAGGAATAAGAGAAGAAGAACAAAACTGGGGAAACTACATTGCTAACTATCAAGATTTATTATAAAGCTACAGTAAATAAGACATTGTGGTATTGGACCAATGTAGCCCAATGGATCAAAGGTTAACAGTTGAGATTCAAGCAACAAATCCAAAATATACATACTTAATTGATTTATGACAAAGTGACACTATAGAGCAATGATGAGAGGAAGGGTTTTTTCAATAAAAGGTGTCAGGTCAATTGAATATCTATCTGGAAAAAATAAATTTTGGTTCTCCACTTAAAATAATAATGATTTCAGGTAAATCATAGATCTGTAAAAATAAAACCATAAATATGAAAGAAAACATGGGAAAGTATATTTGTGACTTTGAGGTAGGCATTCAGTTTTTTTTTCACTATAGATTTATTTTTAAAGGCACATAGACAATGAACAAAATAAACATTTAATCAGACCTTAACTTCCACCAAGTATTATCTGTCCTAGATATGTTCTATTAAGTTCTAGTCTCTAAACACTTTCAATTCAATAATCATCATCTTCATCTGACTCTGTTATTTTTCTTCTGTTGAATTTAACTGTCTTTTGTCTGTTGGCTTACTTTTTCAAGAATTTCTACTAAATTTTGATCTCACCCTGGCCCATATCCTGCCCTCTGTATAAGGTAATTATCTACTGCTTTAGTTTTTCCCAATCTTTACAGCCTGCCAGACTGATTGATCCAGAACTTTGACTAAAATACTGATTCTTGTTTCTGTTTTACTTGTTTTGCTTTCTGTCATGCTGCATTGACAGAATCCAAATAATTTAAATGTAGGCCTCACCAATGTGACTTGGATAGCTTTCACTTACAACAAGGTTTGATAAACTTCTAAAGTCCTAATGGAACAGAACATTTTAGAATAGAAACAAGCATTAGGGAATGAAAAGAATGCCTGTACTATGAAACCACATGTTAAGTGGTAAGTATAATCTCTGGAAAATGAAATGTGCTTTAGTATCAAGGATGTTGATGATTCAAATGGCACTCCATCCCTAGCATGTTACTTTGCCTCTCTTTACAACATAATCATTACTTGAGCATTTCATCTGTATGATTAGTGTTTCATGTCTGGCTCCCATCCTGAACAAGTAAACTCAGTCAGAGCTGATTTTTGTCTGTTTCTGACTGTGCCTTCAGCACCTGGCTCACAGCAGATTCGCAGAAAATGTTTGCTGACTACTTGGGTCAGAACAACCAAATTCTAGAAAACAATTCAGCTGCAACAGCATTTGGAGCATGCTAGATTTAAAAACTGAGGCTATGGAGAGACTTAGAGGGGCTGAAGATTCTGCTCATGACAATACCTCCTGCCCAGACGAGGCTGACCTTGGGGACAGGCCATGCACAGATTACCTGGGGGCCACACATGACAGCTTCATCTTCTCAGTCCCCACTCGATCTGGAGAGGGGCCCAAGCAAACCTCA